AATCTATGCGTATCATGCGAGAAACGGAATGCACCCACAGTCTCTTGCGCGTGGACAAGACTGGACAAAGACTAACGCCGAGAGTAATCCTTTGTTGCGGCGAAGCTACCTGGGATATTATTTACAGGCGACAATTGTGTATAAAACACTTTTGATCTTAAGCGTTGACAAAACTATAGAACTAGGGAACTCTAGACACGAGAGGCGCCGGCTGCTGTTTATCTAAACGGAGTGCGATAGCGCGTCGAGGCATAGGATGGGAAGTAAAGAAAGTACACGGTGATGCGAATGAAAAATATTTTATTCGTATATTTTTTACATCCTTCATACGTGTTAAAAACTGAGAGTTTGCAATCGACGAGCTGATGCGTATTGAAGATGCCGCTGCAGCGTATAGCGTTCTTTGACATCGCTAGCAACGCTTTCTGGAAAAAAGAGAATAAAAGCACTTTTTGATCGCTATTCGCTTTTTTAGCAGAGAATAAAAATGCATTAAGGTAAGAACTCATGGGCGCGTCATTTGACGCGCGCGTCACGCGTCATCGGGGAAATAACTAGATTGTAGTAACTTGTAGCACTGTTGCGTTTGACGCGTTTACAGTTGAATTTATCCAACTTCAAACGCGTCATCGCGTTTAGCACTCTTGACAGCGTTTTCTAATAGTATCTAGCATTATTACAACGTTTAACTACATTTGCTTAAGATACTGCGATTACCACACATTGACGCGTTGCATTAAAAATAAAGTAACGTTAATAAATAAAGTGTCATCAATAATTACTAATGGCTTCAATCGTCAAATATCGAGAATGTCTAGTAGAGTGTGCAAATATTATAAATGTTCAATATGCGTACTATGTCCAACGTAAGCAAATGCTTGCAGTATTAGCCATTCATTTAATGAAAAAGAGGCAGAAAAAGAAGAGCCAAAAGAAACGTTTATGGGTTAGTCTTCTAATCCAAAAACGAAAAGAACATGGTTTTTATCATGCGTTACTCCCAACTTTGAGACTGGAAGATTTGCGATTTCAAAACTATTTTCGCATGTCAGCTATGCAACTTGAGGCTTTATTAGAAATTGTAGGGCCGCATTTGCAGGGACTGTATGTTGTACGCGAGCCTATAAGTCCAGCAGAACGTCTAACTTTAACTTTGAGGTAATATGTTTATAAATCTTGTATATGTAATTATGAAAAATATATAATTAGCTAACGTTTCGAAGATAATATGAAACAATGATATTTTGTGTTTACATTTTAGATATCTTGCATCAGGAGATTCGATGACCTCTATGAGTTTTCAATATTTAGTAGGTTTAACTACTGTAAGTGAAATCATCAGTTCAACGTGTAAAATTATCTGGGATCAACTGTATCCACTAATTCTTCCGCCTACTATTAATGAACAGGAATGGAAACGCATCGCTCAGGACTTTAATGATTTGTGGGATTTTCCACACTGTATTGGGGCAATTGATGGGAAACACGTTACAATTCAGGTATATTATATATTTATCTTCAATGCACTGCTGCAATGATCTATTCGATCATTGCAACTGATCATTGTGGCCTTATTTTAATTAAACACTGTCTTTCATTTCAGTGTCCAAACAATGCAGGATCAAATTTTTATAATTATAAGAACAGCCACAGTATTGTTTTACTAGCCATTTGTGATGCGCATTACAATTTTCTCTTCGTGGATATTGGTGCGTATGGTCGGCGCAGCGATGGAGATGTATTTAAAGAGAGCACCTTTAAATAGAGGACCTTTAAAGAGAGCACCTTTAAATAGAGAGGACAAAAATTTGAAGCAAGCACAATAAAAGTTCCCAAAGAAGAATGTATTTCTGCTGGAGGACCATTGCTACCATATTGCCTTGTTGGAGATGAGGCGTTTCCACTTAAGCCATACTTGCTTCGGCCATACCCACGAGGATGCAAAAAGACATTGAATGCAGATCAACATGTTTATAATTATCGATTAAGTCGTGCCAGAAGGATCATCGAAAACGTCTTCGGAATTCTGGCAAGTCAATGGAGGATCTACAGAAAACCAATTATTACCAGCGTAGACACAGCCATGAGCATGATTAAAAGTACAATTTGCTTGCATAATTGGCTTCGTAAAGACTCCAAGAACAACTTTTATGTAACATCCGACCTATTGGATAAAGAAACAGCAGATGGTGTGCACATTCTAGGTTCATGGAGAACAATAATAGAAAATGAATGTGCTTTTACAGACATATCCAATTGTGGCACACATAATAGTACTCGAGAAGCCATCAGAATTAGAGAACTTTTCTGCCAATATTTCAATAATGAAGGTGCCGTACCATGGCAGTGGGACCAATAATTAAGTTATAAGTTATTATTAAGTAATATAAAATTAATCTTTAAACATTATCTTTAAACATAATCTTTACACTAACATTATTGTTGATAACTTCGTATTAATATTACCAATAACTTCGTCCTAATTACTACTAATAACTTTTTGTTATAAAAACGATTATTTTATATGTCAAAAAACATTCTCCGAATATTTAAGAAAACATTTGTAAAATCTCTAAAAAACTTTTTATATTATTTCTTAATATTATAAAATATTTTATTATAAAATTTATTACAAAAAAAAATAACATAATACATTTTCTTCATATTCTACTTATTGCTCAGCCTTATTTAGTTCTTTATATAACATTTTATGTATTTTTAACATTAGTTGTCTCCTGCGACATCTTGGAAATTGACGAAGTTGCGAGGAAATCATCATCCCGAAATGATCTTCTTCGTTCGTTACTGGAATTGATAGCAAAGAAATTGTCAGCGGCGG